CCCTACAAAAAAATAAATAAAAAGTTTCCTTGAATTTTAATGTTTTATTGCAATTTATTTCTTTACAGTTGAACTAAATAGTATAAAAAAACTGACAACAGACACACAGGGTCAAACTACCTCACCAAAGAGGGAAAAACACAGAAAACCTAAAAATTATATTTCATAGCTGGATTTTCGGGTGTTGCGTTCAGACATGTCCGTCGAGTTGTCTTCTCTGAGAACATTATCAGTCCATGATTTTGTCATCTCCTAATGACCAGTAACGACTCAGTAAAAACACCAAACCTACAGCTAACCAATCCTGCGACAGTGACACTGGACAACTGGCAAATTTAACAAATACAGGGAAAAAAAACGGTTTCAGGTACAACAGGACAATGTTGCAGATGTGCCATGCTTTTGTGTGTTTTCTGCATTTTTGAATCTACAATACAAGTGTTAAAACAGAGTCCAAGTTCCAAAGGGAAAGCAGTGTGACCGCCCCGTGTCAGCCTACGACTCCTCTTCACCATTGACACTGTCAACTTCTTCATCTCCTTCCACATGCTCGCCTTCCTCCTCCTCCTCATCATCATCGTCGTCGTCGTCATCTTCATCGTCATCCCTCTTCTCCTGCACAGTAGGCATCAGAATCATTACATAGTTTCAGTGGACACATGAGCTGCGTAACTGAGGCCCCTGACACCAGGGAATCTCACCTCTTCTTCCTCCAGCAGGTCACCCTCTTCCCCCTCCTCCACTTCATCGTCTGAGTCGTTTATCTCATGGCACTCCTTCATGTCATCGTCCTTGATTCCTGGGTGGTGCGGTGAAGTCACCTCTCCAGGCTCGGCTTTCATTGCTAACATGTACATTTGAAAGAAAAGAACTTGAATAATAAACCATGGTGATTCATGGCCGGTCAACAGCCGCAGCAGTCGGTCATTTCTACATCTTCTCCGTACCTGACTTCTTGCTGTGGTCCTTCTCCATGCGCTCCAGGCTGTCCAGCAGGTCGTCCACTTTGCATTTGATTTGGCTCAATTCCCTCTTGATGGTCTGCAGCTCATCTATTTTTACTGCAGGAAACAAATCTTTAGTCTCTTCATCATCACGGGACAACCATGTAACTCTCCATGTAACATGTATTAGTTTTCCTTGCTCTTCTAACATTTTGTCAATATTTTACTCTGACTGTTACAGGTGGTGGTGGTGGACACTCACTTGTTCTGGATGAAGATGATTTCTGGCTACTCTTGGATGAAGAGGAGAAGCTGCTCTTGGTCCGGCGGCTGCTTCCTCCACTCAGGCTGACCCGTGGACGCTTGGAAGGAATCACAGGCCGTGACAAGGGAGGAGGAGGAGCGGGAACGCGGGACGGGTAAGAGTACATTCTGGTATCACAAAAGAGAGCACCGTTTCAAAAAAGAATTAGGATTAAATGTGAAATAAAAACTGAGTCACACTGAGTGAATTATAAAGCTCTTACCTGTCGTAATAATCTCGCTGGAAGTCAAAGTCGAGGTCAAATGATGAACTACTAAAAGTAAACAGGAGGGAATTTGAGTTTTTCACATTCAATCACGTTCAGACCTAAAGCATCTGTAGATGTGCAGCAGTCCAACCATCACCACAGTGACTGACCTGTACATGTCTCCAGCTGAACGTTTGGAGGTTTTTGACCGGTGTGGTTTGGGTTCTCCAGCCAAGTTGATGTCTGAGAATACAAACAAAAAGTTAGTCCAAAGACTGATTTACCTGTGAAAACAACAGAAACTGTTTTAGACAGATCCAAATCCTCCCTGTCTGATGCTTTACCAAGCACTTGTCCTACAATCATCCTTCCATCCTCTCCGGTGACAGCAGCACGGGCGTTCCTCTCATTGGCGTACTGAACAAAGGCGTAACCCTTGTGCACGGAGCAGCCCACGATCTTGCCATACTTGGCGAAGATGGCCTCCACGTCTCCCTTGGTGACCAGCAGGGTGTTAAGGTTACCAATGAAGACCCGGGAGTTGAGGGAGCGTGGGTCGGTCTTGTTGGTGACGTTGCTGCTGGCCATCAGGCTGGCTGTAGATGCACGACTGGCAGAGAAGAAACACACAGACAGATCCTGGAGTTAGGAGTGTGAGACAACAACGCTCGTCCAAGCAAACTAGACTGAGGGGACGGAGAATTCCAAACTCTGAGACCTTTGAATCCTGAATAATAAGGGGCAGTTTCCTGTAAACTAAAAAAGAAAACGGAGCGCAGAGGACAGAACTGTGGAGAGAGGTGTTTGCACCAACAATGGACGTCCATCATGTGTGGAGAATAAAACAAAGGACTATAGCTGTTCAGAGGATCTGGAATATGGAAAAATCTTCCAAGCTACAAAAAGAAAAATCTGAAAAATGTCATTGTCCACAATTGATGTTAAATAAGATTTTACTGTGGACAACACAGTATGATATTTGGCTACAAACTCAGGCCTGTCATGTGTTTATTCTGCATCATCATCTGGCATGGTCACATGATGTTCCTGTCAAAAATCATCTTCGTAAACAGTGTAAGCTGGTGATGAGTTCAGGATCCCAAGAAATGTAATACTTTAGACAAACTCTGTCAATGTTGCTTTTCATTAGGATCACACTTAGTCAATCCAGTTATGGATCTAGTTTTACTGAAGCAAACCAGACAGTTAACTATCATTATTCTGGTTATTGTTCAACCTGTTACACACTTTTAATTTTTTTGTTTTGCTAATGTTCTGCCTAAAAGTCTGTTTATACATTTTTTCTCTAAAAACAGCCCAGTTGGTCTTCCAATGTCTCTCTCTTTTTTTTTTTTAAAGTGGAAAGTGAGAAAAATCCACATTTAAGATGGTGCAGATTATAAGTCATTGAGAATTAATGAAAAATGACTGCAGAACATTTAATCTTTAAAAAAAAAGAAAATAAACTGATTGAAGAGACGGTTGTTCATGGTGGTTATTTCTGTTTCATTGTGATAGCTGTAAATAAAAAAATATTTAAAAAAGTTCATAGGTGCAGATTTTAAACCAAGGGGGAAACGTTAGCAACTGATGATGCCCAGGGTGTCCTGTGTGGATTTGAGGGATGATTTTATACTGGAAGAACATTTCAACAGAACTGGCATCAACATTAGGCCCCTCCCTTTGTTTGCCAGGGGGAGCCACACTTTCATCATCACTCACTCCATAGCGTCTGTGTGCAGGGTTGTCGTCTGTCTGACACTTTGGCCTGGGTTCAGTTTGGGCTGGGGGTTGTCTTGACCTTCACTTTCACCCCTCACGATTTAGACTGAGGCGACAGAAAACAGGGTTATCTTGTACCGAGTCTTACCTGGTTTAAGTGTGTGGCTTGTGTGTGTGTTTGGAGGCAAGCATGGTAAAGTCTGTGTATAGAGACACTCCAGGGCTGCACCCACAGCTGAACAGGTTTCGTTTTCATGCTATTAATGCTTTCTGAACGCTGAGCTGTGGAAGGCGTTAATAAAGTCAAGCAAAAACCAAACATCCATTGGCTCAATAAGAGACAAAACATAAATGATTTTCTTACTTCTTCTTACGAACGGATGTAAGCTTTAGGAGAAATTGTCACCAGATGTTGGTCCACGGGTCTGTGTTTATAATTAGGTTGTAAATGTGGATCCGATTGACTTGGTGTGTCAGAAAAGGAGGGAAAGTGACTGACATTTCAATCAAACGTGCTCTGTATTTTTTTTTTTTTTAGCGGATTTCAGGCAACGGACGAAAGGTTGCATTTGGTGAGAAGTCACTGGAAATGAAGGACTGAATTAACGTTTGTGCTTTTTTCAGAGTCTCTAATATAAAATGCTCTCGATTGTACCAGTGTTTTATAAATGTTAATGGATGTAAATGTGTGGGTTGATTGCAAACACAGAAAGCCATTATACACTTTTCAAACAAACAAGGTTTAATTGTGAAAACGAATCTCAAGGGTTATGCAACAAAAGAGCAACATTTGTTCGAAACAGTCTAGATTAACTGTATTCTTTATTGTAGGATAATATTAAGAAAAAAGATCAAGTCAAAAACAACCGAACCAGAAAAAAATCTGGCCGATTAATAAAAAATTACCTAAGCCATCCACAAAACACCCACTCGAAAAGCCGACAGCGCCATCACCAGACTTTGCTGTAAAATACAGGGCCTGCGCTTGTCACGGCTACTTTAATCCTGCAGTCTTGACTACCCTAAGACGACCGTCACATAAATAATTTTTAAAAAATGCAACCAGTTCCTGTCTGCAAAAACAAAAACCTGCAAAACCACGACAAATACGTGGTGGGAAGGCTGTGCTTCTAAATCAGGATCAAGCTGCAACAATAAAAACCAAAATGGACCATGTTAGCTTGTTAGCTAGCTGGATGGATTGGCAAAAACACAACCAGTCCATTCATGAAAAAATCTTCACAATGAGAGACACAAAAACAATGCTCGAAAAGATGCAGATGAAATTGTAGCAAACTTGCATCCCCAACTTCTTGTTTTTAAAAAACCACAGGCAGCATTGTTTTTAGGGACGGGCGTCTCTGTGTTAGCAACGCTAGCTACACCGCTAGCCAGCACATCATGTTCAGTCCAGACCAGCACAAAAAAGAAAAAAAAAACACCGTTGAAAAATTCCAAAAAGAAAAGAAAAAGGAGGAAAAATGAAAAATGTCTTGGGACAAAATACTCACCACGACCTTTACGAGTAAAATGTCTTGTTTTTCGGTAAAATCGATATTTAGGTCGTCCTAAATCGGCGGAGCTGCAGCGGTTTCGACCCCTGAACAGCGAGCTAGCTTTCTTCTAAATGCTTTGCTAACGACAGTGGCGCAGTAGTGAATAGGTGGTGTTGGTTTTGTTCTGCAGGGCACTCCGACGGAGAACACTCATATGGACTCACGTTGAAAATTATATTTGGTATTTATTGAAAAATCCACTGCCTTATGATTATTTACTGTGAATAAATGCCACAACATTTTTGTACCTATGTTTTATTTATTTTATATGTGTAGCTAAGCAGGGACTGACCTTTTTATTTCCTCTTTAAAGGTACACAAGGTTGTATTTCATCAAAGTCCTAGAAGTCTGTACTCAAATCAAGATAAAGACAAATGGACAAACAGAAGTGTCTTCCAACAAGAGACTCCTTCACAGATCATGGAATCAGCAGCTCATACTACTTTCTGGTTGGTGCACACTACACACAGATTTTAGTTTACCTGAAATTTAATTCGCATAAATTGAAAAAGTTTCATACCCATTAGGGAATAGAACTAGAAAAACAACAATAATAATACATTACACGAACAACAGTATCAACAGAATACATTTGTAACACGACAAGGGTGATTTTTCTATTAAAAAAAACGTAAAATAATGAGTGCAGCTGCTTAATGCATTTCATCTTTAAGCCTACAGGGGGAGGTGTTGCTTTGAAAATAAATGAGCAGTAACACATCCAGAAACAACATCTATCTAGGAGGTTTTTGGTGACATTTACACAATTTTTTTACAGTTTGTTCCTTGTAAACAATAATGAATAATGTCAAACACAAACCAAAGGAAGAGATGTGGTAATTAAGACGCTGTAGGTCTGTCAGGTCCAACTACTGAAGACGTTTGTGTCAGTGTCTAATATGAGCACACATCCAAAGACCTGACATAATGCCAGACAAATACAAGGTGAACTAAATATTTGTATTGTTAGTAGTTTCGTGTGTTTCCTAGCAGAACAGTATTTCCTCTTTGGCTCCGTATCAGTTGAAACATAATGATATAAACACAAGGCTCTGACAAAGATTGTGAAACCCAGAATGTACGAAGAAATAACTTGAACATTTTCATAGGCCAAACAAAAATGTAATCCTGTTCTTAGTCAGTTTTTTTTGCCTGTAAACTTTAAGTGTTGACATGTTCTTTGTCAAGTCCTTCTTCCTTTTCTTCTTCTATAATTTCCATGTATATCACGCAAAACCTTTTTTGTTTTTTTTAAACCTACAATAAAATAAAGGTCAGCATCGTCTCACTCTGAGATTTCCCACGAAACGCTTTGGAGTTTATTTGAGTTTATCTCATTCTACCAGAGGCTCCTTTTTTCTCACCGCAAACATTTTGATACGTCACAGTAGGAACGGCACAGATGTGGCTCATAAATGTAATTGTGTCTGCGTTGTTCTCAGCCGCTGCAGCGACAGGACTGGGCCGTTGTTTGTGCTGCCACTCTGTCCCACCGTCAGGTCTTACTGGGACACTCAGAGAGGGCAGAGCCAGCGCTGATGTTATTGCTAGCAAATGTTCTCTCTGATAGTGTGACATGGTGATATGTTTGCTGTGGAATAAAAAGCCTGTTTTAATAATTTTGAATGACTTTACTGCACCTGAGGAGGGAGCCAGAGACAGGATGGCAGCGCGGAGAAACCACTACCAGCTGTTTTCTGTGTCACGTTAGGAGATGAAACCTTCTACAATGTCTCAATTTTTCACGGAGAATATGTTCTTTTGTGAATTGTTTTTGCTCCATCTGGTTTCGCTTTGTGCACCATCCCAAAGGACGTGTTTACAGCTCTTTGCATCATCTCGGGAATCGGGAATACAAGTCAAGCTCTTAGTTTAACTGTTTCTTCAGATGAAAGGTTCCTCTGTTTGTTTGCCTCCTTTGTGTATTCCTGGTCATCTCAACAGTTCGAGGTATAAAGGCCTGGGGCCTTGACAGGTTGTCATACAGGGTGTCCAAGTTTGTGATGTGATTTGTGCAAATTTGTTAAGGAGAGGGAATTTGCTTTATAAATATCAGCACAAACAGTGATGGGAAGGCAATATTTAGCCACAGAGGCGCCGTGGCCAGTGGTCCCTGTGGTGAGGACGTGTCCAAAGTTTAACCAAACGTGTTACTTATGAGGCTTGTCACGAGGCCTACGACTTCCCTAAATGATGTTTTATGGTCCGTTATCAGAGGAGGAGGAAAACCTATTTTTGTCTGTGTTTTGTTTTTGCATCATTTCCAGTTTTTGTTTGTTACTTTGGCAAAGTTTCGATGTTTCTGTTCTCACGTTTCAACATTAGTTAACAACTAAGAACAAGGTCGATCTGGAACGAGTTTTAGCTTTAATGACTGAAGTTGATATCATTTTATATTTGAGCTCATTTTCAGCTAACTCGTATTTATTTTTTAGCTCTTCGTGACTTATCAGCAGACGTTTGTCCTCACAGCCGGTTCTAAGGTATTCAGTCTACCTGAGTTATTACGACTAACTAGTAACTAGATCCATTTACCATCTTTGTCTTTTAGACAGTTTGACTGAACACAGTTACCTTTGAGTTAACATTCAGATATTTTCTATCTTCCTTTGTAAAGAACTGTTAAGTATTAGCTGTTGTGCTAACTTTGGCTTGTTTATATTTTCCACCACAGGCCCGACGGGCGACAGCGACAGCGACAGCGACAGCGACAGCGGCTCAGACCGTTCTCAGCAACCAGCAGCTCACCTGCAGCTGCTCCTCATCTTCACACCTTCATACATCTGACTGCCTCCGACCTCCGACCTCCGACGAGTGCTGCACAACATCATGTCCACTGTGAGGTAATTCACTCAGGAACATTTTGTGCAAACTATTTTGTTTGTCAAAAAAAAAAAAAAGATTTACGAATGTGAAAACATCCAAATACGTTTAGAATAACATAAACAATATTCTGAGCAAAAACAAATGAACTTTTCAGTCCAAGGGAGTAAATATGACCTGAGAGCTACTTTGAGTTTACCACAGAACGCCAGAAAAAGTATCAGGAACAGATGTGTGTGTAAAAATTGTGAAACGGTGTCAATATACAGTGAATCACTTTGGGTTTTTAAACAGGATCATTTATTATAGCTATTTTTAGGGCCAGCTATAGATCAGTGGATGGAGGGAATCGTCTTCCAAGCACAAGGTCAGGGGTTTGATTCCAGCTGTGTTGCTTATCATCCACAGTCACAGGGAGACATGTGTCCTCCAAATGTTATCCTGGATAAATGTAGAACATTGTGTCAGAAATGGCATAAAAACCTGCGCCAAAAGACACATATGTAGATTATCTGGCCTGATGAACCCCGCTGAAGGCCGCAGCTGAAAGTGATTCCATTATAAAGTGAAAGTTGGAGATGATACTCCATCACCGCTGACCGTCTCCTGACATGGACAGAGGTTGATGACCCTCCAGAACTTTTATGCAGCATTGCCTTTATGTTCCCCCCGCTGTAAATTTGACAGCGATGACAACTGCAAAAATGCAATATAGGAAAGTTTGCCGACCAAAAACCAGCAAATGGTCAGTGAAAGGTCAGAACTGTTCACAGCAAACGGAAATTATAGGCAAAACCACAGCAAATAAAAATACCAGAGTTCCCACGTGAACTCTCCACTAACGACCCAAGATTACTGTACCGTACTGTACGGCCCAGCGTTAAATATAGAAAACTGACACTTCTTCTTCTTCCCCGCTGCACTGGAGGACATTTTCAGATGTGAACAGCAGCAATCAGCCAGCTCCACTGTGATTAATGAGCGCCGTCCTCTCTGTGAAGCTGCACAGATGGCTGCACCGTGACCTCTGTTTGTTTCAAATGAGGAAACAGTGAGAATGAATGGGATGCCATTAAAAAAGTATCAGCAATAATAGCAAGTAAATGACTTCTTGTAAATCAGACACATAAGATTAATAACCCGCTGTGAGTTTTTACAAATATTATTTTGATAACGTGCAATCGGAACATAGATCTGAGTCACAGCGTGTTTGTCGGGGAGTTTGTTTCTCACAGGCGTCACGTCAGAGGGAGAAAATCAGTGAGGCAGAAATAGACAAAGGTTTGGCCATGAAATAATTGAGAATGAGCTCAGGGATAAAAAAGATGAAAGGTGGCAGTGAACGGGTGGAGTAAAGTCCTGGTTCATGGGTTCACTCTGGTACTGCTATAGTTTGGATTAGTTTGAATCTGATTCCCTCTGTAAAAACAGGTTTCTCTGAAACAAATTATAAAAAATCTTACAAACAACGGCTTAAGATTTAAGTTTCTTAAGTCTGATACAACGGTTCACTCCAAACATTTTTAAAAATTATATGAAATAAACAAAAACCAAAAAATAGTTATATTAAATTATAATAGTCGCAGTTTAAACCAGTCTATGCTGCTATTATGCAACATATCGACTTATATATATATGATATATATTTGATTAAATATGAATATTTAAACTGCAAAAATGTGCTGTTAACAAGAAGAAAAAAGAAACATCATCTTTTTTAAATTGCCAACGTCACCGTTATGTTTTATCACAGTTAATTTGCGCCCGGCGTCTGTTTTGACTTCAGTGTAAACGGAGTTTTTGTGGGACTCAGGCAGATGGAACTGAAGGCGGATTCGAACTCCACTCCCTCGGCTCTGACACCGACACTCAGCGAACCATCTCTCCTCTTCTTATGAGGGAGGGGATAAAAAAAGAAAAGAAAAATCGCGGATGCGCGTGTCCGATCGTTCGTCCGTTTGCGCGCACTTGCGCTCGCAGTGAACGCGCTGCTCGGAGGAGTGGAGAACAGTCCGCGTGCAGCCAGCGCGAGACACACACACACACACACACACACACACACCACAGAACCCACCGAGAACTGACACAGAGAGTGGACACGAGACGGTAAGAAGAACCAAAACACAGACTGCGGTTGTTTTTAACTCTGACTGAAGAAGTGTTTCATTAACCTCAAGACGCTAGGGGGTGCAATCAGGACTGACAGACACGGGCACAGAGGTAGAAGTTAAGTTGGGTACTTTATTTACCCCGTGTGGCAACGGATGGATGGATGGACTGGAATGAATGAGTGATGGAGGACAGAGGAGGATTATGGGATGGATGGTAGATGTATGTTAGTTTAAGGTGGACCGATGGATGGATGGAGGTTGTCGGATGACAGAAGGATGTGGTTGGTTAAGTGTGAAATGATCTTGTTGGACGTAGATGATGGTGTTGTAGAGATTACAGACAGATTACAGACAGATTAGGACTGTGCTGGGATTATATGGATGGATGTAGTAACCAGGTCGACTGGATGACGGATGTTAAGGTTCATTAAAATAATATCAATAAATCAGTGATCAAGGACTGAAGGTCGACCTGAAGATAATTAATGAAGTAAAAATATGGATATAAGATGAATTAATTTAAAACTTAATTTATTTCCAACTCAGTGGAACTTGAATAATAATGAATAGAATGTGTACGAGTCGACTTTATTAATGTCATCCAGTGTAAATCTATGGATTCAGAGTAACTGCTGACAAATGTTTATTTGATGATGGTGTCAGTTCACGTTGTTGACGTTGATGACGTTGAATCCGTGTTTCTAAGGCAGCTCCGTTGGCAGAGGAGATTCCTCTGGGAAAAAAAATCTATGGATATAGAAAACCCTTGGACAAAATTCCATAGGTTAGGAAATATTTTGGAATTTGCTGGACGGTCGCTGCACACATGTCTGCTTGACTCTACTGAGCTCGGAGGATTTGGAGCAGGCGGTGAATAGAGACAGAGCTATAGGTTGAACTCTTACCCAAATCTGTGATATTTTCCCTTCCTGTGACTGGTGGGACGGGTCCTTTCCACTCCTCTGCAGTCCACTGATTTATGTCATGTAGCTGGAATGAAAAGTGCTGCGCAGGGGGTGGAAATCTGGCGTGCTGAGAGTCGAACAGATGAGGAGGCTTGTTTTAATCATTAGTCTCCTTGACATGGATCTTATGCTGGGGACTCTGGGTTTATGGTCGCAGGCATCTGCCCAGGGTTCCCTCTGCACAGAGGTGTACGCAGGGGTGCACGAAGGCTATCAATAACTTCATCCTTGACCTAATTCAAACCCAGGTTTGTGTCTGTCAAAGACAAAAAAAACCCACAAGCTCAGCCTCCTGTGCCACGGGAGGTGGCTCAGGTTGTTGATCAATACCAGTGAGTCACCGATCATTCTAACAGATGCTCCGATTGTTTGTTCAAGTGCTGAGATGGAGCGTGGCGCTCCGAGCGAGAGAGGCAGCAGCCAGCCAGGATTTGTTTCGCCCTGAAATATTGTTTGCCCTGGCAGCGCGCGTTCGCCTCGATTTCACACCAGGGGAAGAAAACAATAAAAGCGTTTAAATGTTAGAGTCGTGTTTTCCTCTCTCTGACTTCTCTAAATGTAAACAAAACTTTTAAAATATGTCATTTGGTTTCAGGTTAGAACTCGAGGCTGGATGCTGGGGTTTAACGCACGACATTTTTGTGTTACTACATGTTCATTCTAAAGAAGGCCCAGTAGGAAGTAGTATTTTTAATATTTTATTCCAACATGACAGAGAGAACTTTATTTATTTAAATCCTTCAAAACATATAGTCTGTGGTAAATAAATTTGGAAACATCCACAGTCCTAAACAGGACTAAATAAATCTGTACCTTTGTTGGAACAGAAAGACCAATAACAGCAGGTAGAGGTCACTGTTTCTCACCTGTGCGTTTGTGGAAGGTGGTTCTAAATTAAAATGAAACTTGTTTTATTTCATTAATGTTCAGTTCAGCAGCTGTGTTAGTGACAGTGAAGTGAAGAACTGAAGGGATTGTTTGAAAAGAGGAGATAAATACTTCACTTTTAGTTCATAAAATCCCGTTGTGAAAGGAAACGATGCTCTGATCCATCTTCAACACATTATCTGATTAAAGGTTGCAAAGGCAGCTGGAGCCAAACCCCGCTGACAGGCTGAGGGGTGAGGGCTGAGGGGTGAGGACTGAGGGGTGAGGACTGAGGGGTGAGGACTGAGGGGTGAGGGCTGAGGGGTGAGGACTGAGGGGTGAGGGCTGAGGGGTGAGGGGAGAGGCGTGAGGGGTGAGGGGGGGGGGGTGAGGGCTGAGGGGTGAGGGCTGAGGGCTGAGGGGTGAGGGGTGAGGGCTGAGGGCTGAGGGGTGAGGGCTGAGGGCTGAGGGGTGAGGGCTGAGGGCTGAGGGGTGAGGGGTGAGGGCTGAGGGCTGAGGGGTGAGGGGTGAGGGGTGAGGGCTGAGCTACACCCACCACAGGTTGACACTTTATTACTGCTCCAACAAACAACAACATCAGAGCCCAGCCTGTCGGTGTGTACAGTCTGGGTGTGTGTGTGTGTGTGTGTGCAGTGAAGTTATTGTAAGTCAGAGTTTCACCAACATTCAACAACAGTTCTACGTGTTCTCTGTATTTGACACCAGCAACAACAACAAAAACTAAAACAAGGCTGAGCTGCAATTGTTCAGAGAAAAAAAAATCATTTCTCTGAAAAATCTCATATTATTTCAACCATTTTTCATGGCTGACAGTTAATCCCTCGCCTTGAAAATGAAGCCAACTGACACCAGACCACGAGTTAAGGCCAGTCTACATGTGACTGAAGGTCTCCCTCGCTATTCACTATGTCGGTGACTGTCCCTTGCCGCCCCCAGCAGCAGCAGCAGCAGCAGCAGTAGCAGCAGCAGCAGCAGCAGTAACAGCAGCAGTAGCAGCAGCAGTAACAGCAGCAGCAGTAGCAGCAGCAGTAACAGCAGCAGCACCAGCAGCAGCAG